ACAAGGTCGCAAAAGACAAGGCCACGGTAGAGGCCACGGAGGAGGAGACTGTGGATGAGGATGCAACAGGCGAGGAAGCGATGGAGGAGGAGGATATGACGGAGGAGGAGACCTTGGAGGACAAGGCTACCAGCCAGGACGAGTCCTGAAGAGGGGTTTATGCCTGCTATATAGCTTAGAGCAGCTGTGTTTTGCGGAGGAAAAACTGATCGGGAGGATTTTTGGAGGATTTGGCACCTAGATCTTGGGATGCCAATGACTTGTCATTTGGTCAAAGATCTATATATACCTAGAACCTGACCTGAGTGACCTCTATTTTGGACCACCAACCACCCCAAATATGGTCAGACTTCCTATCAAAACGAGAGGTCATGTCTGGGTTCCAGGTATGTATATATATATATATGCATGTATACACAATATATCATAACCCTTGATATAGTCTTATATATATATATATATTAACCCCTTTTCGGTCTTCGTTGGGCTGGGAGATCTCGATGTGATCTCCCATTCGCACCGGTTCCGGAGTTCCGTGGAGAGGGGTGCCAGTTCGGGTGCCCCGACGTCACATCCATACCTCCTTTGAGGGACGAAGCAAATCACCCAACTCTTTGGAACTCCGAGCCAGAGCACAGAAGGGAGACCACAGGTATTTGAAGACGAGCCAGAGCGGAGGACTCTCATAAAGGTGGGATTGATCCAAGCCCTTCTGGAAACCTCACACTTCAATGTTGGAAGGTTTCTGGAGGAGGTTCCGTGGACCAGTCAAATCATCCCCCGGACGACCAATCATTTGCTTTCCTCTAGTTCTATGATTCACATTCCCGGGATGGGCTTGGCTTCTGGTTGGATGAATTGGATTGAATTGGTCCATCTGGTTGGTGTCCCCATTTGCTCTGCACCAAACTGCACAAAGCGCCGCCAGATAGCCGCTTCGCTGCGCATTTGTTGGAGATCGACGTGACCAGTGAGCAGTGTGAGACCAAGGGGGGTCGTCGACGTGACCAGTGAGCCACCTTGGAGGTATTAGCAAAAAGCATTCCCAGTATGATGGAAGCAGGCAAACAAGCTTTGTGTGTTGGATTTCCATCTGGTGTGCTGCATGCTTTTTCCTGGAACAAGCATCCTGAGGGAGAGAGCTTCCTATTGATGTGTCGAACATTGTCGAACCGAGGTTCGAGCAGTTTTGCCAGAGAGGCTTGTCAACCAAGCACCTTTGTTTGCAGTTATTCCTGACATTCCGGACTGCAACCGCTGCGCCTGAGTGGGTGGTGGCATCTATTCCAAATGTATGTATAGCTATGTGAGATGAATTATGTGAGATTCCGGGGGTCATTACTTTCTATCTTGACAGAGTATATCTTGGTCACTTGGTCAATGGGTCGATGTTTTTCTCGCTGTTTGTCATGTGTCAAATCGGTTTGGATGCAACAGCAACATCATGCGAAGCACATTCTAACAAAAAGATCTAATCTCAAGGCTGATGATGTGCAGTGCTGAACCAACAACTGCTACGAGGGGATGACAACAGTCTGACGACGGTCTGCCAGTGTTTCGAACAGTTTTCTCCTCCACCGTTGCGCTTGCATCGCAACCCTAGTCCCAGCTTGCATCGCGTGCTGGTGGAACAGTTGCTGAGCGCAGACGATTTCCTCATTTTCAAGGCATGGCATGGGGGAAATCAGGCAACAGACGTGATGAATTCCTCTACCATCCAACAGCATGCCAATGGCCTCGTTTGGCAACAGCTGGGTGGCAGAAATGATAAGCTGGGTGGCAACAGCTGGGTGGCCACGATCGAAGTATGGTAAGGCATCGAAGAAGTTCGCCTGGCATCGATTGAAGACGTCGGACCGTCGGAGGGTTAGACAGTCTCAGATGTGCCTCGAAGGGAGGTTTCACAGTGGTTTTCAGAGGTGAGTAGTGGGCACATCATGTGGGCAACAGCCACCCAAACACCCCTTTTTGAGGTCTTAGACAGCTGGGGGGGCACCCCCTTACTATAGCTTGTCATTGAGTATCATGCCCCCACTCAGCAACTCTTTTCCCCCGGGATTGGGGGAGATTCACGGTATCACGTGGCCTATTGTAATCAATCACAGTCACGGCCTACATTAAACAGTCAGGGCAATAACGCTCCGCTGCTAAGATTACACAGTTTACAGTTGCTATTCATCAACGGTGTGCAGTCATCACAACTTCAGTTCAGCTCTTGATCATCACTGGAATTATACTCATTATAACTCCATTCGCTTGTGGACTATCGGTGCATGTGAGTCGGAGGGAACAGGTTTTTGTTTCGCAACATCATTGCACTGCACAAACGATCATTTATCCGCACTCCCTGGAAGGCCATGATGACGAAGCGAAATGCAGATCTTTACCGAGAGGCGGATGCGGACCTGTATGATACGTCAAGTGAACACACAGAATACATGGAGCATCAGAGCTCACCTGTGAGAAGCCATTGCCACATTCACATTCTTCTTGTACACTGTACTCGTTCGAATCGCTTCGGCACGACACTCCAGCTAAGTGTGGGTCTCCAAGGGATCCTACTTTGCCCATAGAAACTGCCAATGTCTTTTTAGCAAGCAGACAGCTCTTGCCTGTTCCTCATACTTCTTATCTGGTTTGCGGATGACCCACACTTTCCCATCATGTCCCTGTTCCGAAGCTATTCCATCTACTATCTACCATTGGATGACGTATTTGACCCATCAGATGACCCAGGAATCATGACCGAGATCTTGGATCTACCAGCTCAACACCAGCTCAACACCTCGTGAACGATGTCTGACTCGTTCATGGCTGAAAACCCACAGCGCATGGGCACACGGTTTAGAATGGCTGAGAAGAAGGGCACCATCCAAAGCCACTGGGTAAAGTGACAAGCAGAGACAAACCGAATCTTGCTCTGGAGGGTTTTGTGGAAGAAAAGCATTTCTTGAGCCACGTCCATAAGCTGGATGTCTTCCAGAGCGCCGTGTCTTCCGCTCCAGAGCTCGGATCGGACTGTCTCCCTGCACCAGACATGTGGTGCATGGATTTCGTGATTCCAGTATATACACGATTCCACAGCTAGCTTTGGAACTGTGTGACAGGACTGGGTGTCCTGGAAGCCGCACATCTATACATCAGATAATATCAGATACCCTTCATCCAACAAACATGGTTACGTGTTGTCCATGGCCCCAATGAAAGACTGAACTCATCGACTGAACAGGCTGTTTTCCACTTCCATGAGAGAGTATATGGGAGAGTATAATATGGGTGTGTATCAACAGAGATCTCCCAGGCATCGCGCTCCGACCCCGTGGCACCAGAAAAAGCACCAGTCTACCTAGCCAGGGCCAGGGGCAAGGGGTAGGGTGTCTCCCTATGTATACATCCACACCCCATATGGCTGTGGATCAAAACTGGGACACCCTGTCTTTGTCCACCGAAAACGAACAGAATAGACCCAAGGGGTCCCGGTGCAATGACCCCCCCCATATGGTCTGATTGTGCTCCACCTGGCACCCGCCAACTCGTTTGAGCCCAGATCAACAGCATTCAGGGCAGAGAGACTATGAAAATGATTGGGAAGACTCTGTTTCGTGATGACTTGGTGACATGACCTACCAACAAGTCACCAACTCCATTTTCACCTACCAATTGACAAAGACCTCATCCTCCATCACCGCCAGGCCCAAAGACGCGTGGACGCTGGCCTCGAGGCGGTACACCGACTGGTCGATCGGTAGGTGTTGCTGCATGTAGATGTTTCAACGCCCGTCCATGTTTGGAGGTTTTACGATCCATGTTTGGGGGTTTTATGAAGATGAAGACTCATCTAGATTCTAGATGTATGGTTTTGCAGGGCGTGTATGTGGGTATTCGATCAAAGTATGCTTCGTGCTTCGTGCAAAGAATCGTTGGTATGGGCAGTCCAATGGCGTGATTTGCCACAGCCACCCAAACTGTTGTTTTGCCACGAAAGATCTGGTTGGTACCCCATGTTTGCAATGACATCCAAAGATCAAGATCAGCATTTTTTGTATTTTTTTGACTGTGTATGATTCATTCAAGGCTAGCAAAGGCATGTTGTAAAGATACATTACTTGCATGTACCGTGAAAGTCCTGGTTACCAAACTTCACCCCCTCTGATCTCCCCAGCCACCTTGCCCCTTTTGTGCTCGGTGACCTCGGCTGTAGAGGTGGGTGGTAGGATTGGGGTCGTGGCCACCAACAGCCCAAACGTCACAACTTTGTGTGCATCTCCCACCACAGCATGCTTGCCAAGACATGTTTTGGCTTCGGGTCGCGAAACATTTGGTTCTGCGAACTGGGCAATTCCGGATCAATCAGTTGATCCTGCACAGGCGGCACCTTATTTAACTATATTTAATTTAAGTATGTGTAAAAGTACAATACATCGGAAACGGCAAAGCATTGTGGACCAGCTCCGGCCTGCAGGATGATTTTTATGAGACCATGGTGGAGGAAGATGATGAGGTCCGGGGCATTTCCGGTGCGGAGTGAATGTAGGAGTCTTTGTGTTTGTTTTTGAATATTCTCAAAGCCGCGGGGTGTCCTGGTTCCTGGTGGACCTCAATCATGCCACATCCAGACAGTGGGTGAATGAACAACACGTACCTCACGACTCTCAAGACGATACAAGACTGCTGTGGTGGATGAATATTGGAGATCCAACTTTCATCCTGATGGGTGACCATGTTTGCTGCAAATAAATCGGTGCCAAACTGATCCAAACTGTGCAAATTATGAGCCAATTGGTTCCGTCAGCTCCCGCATTCCAGCGCATAACGAACTCCACGAAAAGACTCGGGTCTCTTCGAAGAAGCCATCCATTCCCGAGGGGCCGGGCCCCCCCCTCCGGCCCGTTGGCTCTGGCGGCAGGAGGCCCTGGCGGCCGTTGGCTCCACGGCGGCGCTCGTCGCGGACGAGTGGAAGATCTACGAGGAGAGCGAGCCGAGCGCGGAGAGTCGGAGCGGTGGACCGGCGCCGTCGGTGGACCGGGGTGGTCGGTGGGGCCCGGATGGGACCGGGGACCAAGGAACAGAGGGTTTCAATCAGCAGTGCAAGAAGCAGAAGTGATTTCTCATGAGTTAGTGGGGGATTGTTCATTCATGTCTTTTTAGTTTTTTTTTTGGGGGGTGAACCAAGGCTTTTCAGCTCTTTTTTGGATGTGTTTGGTAATGCTTGGGATCTTTGTTCTTCAGGTATTTGCAGCGGATGTAGATGTCCATGGTACTCGGATGAACGCAGTGATCAACTATCCGCGGAGAGGGAGACGAATGAGATGATGTGATCGCATCTCTGGGTCTCAGTATCTCTGGGTCTTAGGGCACCTGACGTTTCTCTTGGTTCCAACCTGAACGAGTCGGTGAGACCTCCAGGTCTGGTCTTGGTTCCCCCTGCTCGTCACACCACTCTCTCTCGACCCCCTCGGACTCCGGTCCAAGGAGCAACTCTTCAAGGTCCAACAACCGACAGCGGAAGCGGTGTGCGAAGCGGAAGCGGACGGTGGGAAGGCTGAGTAATATTCAAGACTTCATTTTACGATAGTTTAAGTAGGAGACATCATAGTTCAGTTCTATTCATCATGCATCATATATTTAGTTCTATTGATGAATCAGTCCAGACTAGCACCAAAGGAAAACCAAAGCAACTCCAACTTCACACGCCGCTCAGTCCTTATAGCGTGTCCTGAACGAGGCACTGGATGAGTCACAGAAGGAGGATGACCAGCTGGCCAGAGAGCGGCAAAAAGAGGAGGACGAGAGCGGCCATGGGCCATGCTAGAAGCTACGCACGGTGGAGGTCCCATCACTATTAGGTTGGAGGCCATCACTAGTAACAAGACAAGAAGCTACTAGTAGCTAGCTTCTTGTTACTAGTAGCGATGGCCTCCACCTAGTAGCTTGCTACTAGTACTTGGGCCATGCGTCGGGATGGACAGCTGAGTCGGCTGGGAGGGGCTCCACCGGTAGTTCACCTGTGGAGCCGATCGAAGCCGATCTAGCAGCCGGGGGGAGCTCCACAGGTCGGCCCTTGATACTGGCGCAAGTATACTCAGGATTGAAGGCTTGCCCCTTCACGCATTCTTCCCAGTTCCATGTTGCCCACATGTCATTGTGTGGGAGCCCTTGTGGCGGTGGTGGGTGCGGATTTGATTCATGAGTGGTGGAAAACTCTTCCACATCACTTGGATGTTCTTTTGTTTACTGCTCCCCCCCTTCTAGTTGCGGGTGCCCAGGCAACTTGGACCAAGACTTCCAGTCATTCTTCGCTTGAACACGGTGGTTTCGCTCTGCGTCCTCGCGCTTGCTCGGTGCAACCGAGAAACGGTCGGTGCTCCTCGGTCGGTCGGCGCGAAACGCGCTCGCTCGCTTCGGTGGATTCGGAGAGCGGGAGCACCATGGATCACCGGACACTGTGTTTTTCTTGAAGTACTATAGATCGAGACAGAATTTGAGAGATGGAGCAAATCGATATCATGATATCATGCTAACTTTCCGAATGCTATCACCAGGCTTTCAATTTGAGACATGGAGTAAATAGAGGTAAATAGATATGCTGGATGCTATCACCAGGACATCTGATTTGATCAACATCCCTGTTTTCCCCCCAAGAAAAACGTCCGTTTTCCCAACTATCTCTCCACCCTCCTGCCATACTCGGTTCGTTAGACCGGCCGCTTAGACCGTGACGGGCCGAGGAGGAGATGGAGCGGGCCATTGCCCTTTCTTTGGAGGAGATGGAGCCGCTCCGTTGGGGGCGAAGCTTCGGCCCGCCGAAGCTTCGTCGCGTCGGTGTGCGGTCGGTGGCGTCCGGGAACCCCTCGTCGATCCCCGAAAGTGGTTGGTTGGTGAACCAGCATGTCAGGGGCTGAGTAGAGGAGTAGAGTCACCATGTGCGGAGACCGGAGATGCAGTTCTGATGTTCGGACCACTTGAATTCACTGGAATCCATGGCATATCTTGTTTTATTTATAAAATACATCTCTATACATTCGAGCAGAGGCTTCTATCATGGATCTTATACAGACCTAGAACCTGAGTGACCTTTATGTTGGACCACCAACCACCCAAAATGTGGTCAATGGTCAGACTTCCTATCAAAACAGAGGTCAAATGGGTTCTAGGTGTACATATATATATATATATACATGTATACACAATATATCATAACCCTTGATGCCACTGGTAAGTGTCGTGAAGTTCTTGCATGCGCTGGATGATCAGTCAGTGAACTTGTCGGGGTGTATTTATACAGAGAGGATTGCTGCCTACAACCAAAAAACATCAAAAGGAAAGGGTTCATTCAGAATCTTCATGATGCCCTTCCACTAATGTGTTGGACATGTGGAATGTGTTTACTCCCATTTAGAACCTGCCAACATGGTTCTGCCTGCGTGTGTTGCTGGGCCTTCGACAGAACGATGACGGCCTCGTCGCAGGAGGACCGGCGGCACTTCGAGGACCCCGGCACGCCGCAGAGCGGCAGGTCGATCCACATTCCGGCTCCGGACGATGGAGTCGGAAGCCTTTCCAACAACCAACAGGAAACCCAAAAAACCTGCCGGTTGGGCATGGAAGATGATTTTGGAAGTCCAATGGATTTTCGTTACACCAGGACCAGAGCAGCTTGAATTCATCCATGCCTGGCAACGGAAAAAGGGTGGACGGGACATGACGTGAAGGCCTGCACTGGATTCGGAAGAGCAAGCTATTTCCGGCCATGCTAGGCCTGGTTTTGCTAAGGTCCAGTTCTATGAACTGGGTATATCCCCGAACCTGACTCCTGGACAGCAAATCCAAGTGATGTTTTAAAGAAACCCGGGACCTAGGAGAAATGTAAGCAGTGGTCCCGTTTTAGCAAACAATGGCTGATTCATTGTAAAACGATAAAGAGTAAAAAAAAAAACGATAACACTCATGTAATACATGCAATACAGTACATGAAAATAGAAGCATTGGAAATTCAAATGCCTTCAGTTCTTGAAGCAAATAGCTGTCAAATCCAATTATTGATTTCAGGTGCATTCTTTTTAACAAGAGTGTTTCATGTCAAGGTTTTCGTGTAATACAAGCATTCAGGTGATTCAGGAGTGATTTCTTTTTTGGCTCCTTGAGCATCGCTGGGACATGGGTAGACATTTGCTGATCCATATGGGTAAGCATAGTTGCATGTACATGCATGGATTCTAATTCAGTGGATGTTAGGCCGACAGGTCAACAGCACCCATGTGAATCATTCTTGAGAATATGTTGTATTAAGTGTTTGAGTCCGTTAGGCCACCAAAATGGGTGAAGCGTTGGGGGTTCCAAAACGATAACAAAACGATAACAAAAACGATAACAAGAATACACGAAAAAGTCCTCGGGAAGACCATGTCCCACATGTACAAATTCAGAACTTTTCAACATTTCCTTCAAACAGACTCCAAACATCAAGGGCCGTCGGATCATCCGTCGGTATTCCAACCTGTTCTGCTGGTGCCCCTGGAGGTGGAAATCCGGGCCTTACCGGTAAGGCCCGGATTTAGGGCTGCTTTTGGGGTGGAGCAGGCTCAGTTCGTCCACCAATAAGACTCCATCGAGGTACCGTTCGAGCCGGGAACCGGCGAACAGGTTGGGGCCCGAGGGGTGCTCACCGCTCTCCCCCCGTAAAGGGAATAGACACAGAGACAGGGGGAGAGGAGAAAAAGTGTAGAAAAAGTAGCTAGTTGATTATCAATTCTTAGTGATTTTCCTGGTCAAATTCCTTCAGTTCCTGGCTTTCCTTGATGTTTGGAGTCTGTTTGAAGGACATTTTGAACAGTCAAATTTTCATTGAACATATGCACGCGCGCACACACATAACAGACACCGACTTTTTTGCAGTGGAGGCAGAGACATGTGTGGTTAGCTGGGAAACGACAAGAGACTGTATACTGAGTTCCAAACATTGAAAAACGATAAAGAGTTTAAAAAACGATAAGGCTGAAAGTGGTCATACAAAATGTATAGGGTTTTTTTAAATACATCAAGTAGGGTGGACTCAGGTGGTCGGATTGCATCAGATGGAGATCAACTGGGCCTAGGATTGACCCGCAGTCACGATGCAGATGACAGCTGGGTATAGGCCTGCTGCGGCATGCAGGTTAGACATGCTAGGACCCAGGATTATCCAAGGGATGCACCAATGGAGATTCCTAAGTAGTGTAGGGTAGTGGTTATGCTCAGGTGAAGGGCATCTCTTTCACCGTTCGAAGCCCCGGGGCCCTGCCGTTGGAGGAGCCCTTTGAACCGGGTTCCGACGAGCCGGCCTCCTCCTCCGCAGCTCCTGCCCCTCCGGTGGAGGCTTCGGCGTTTGGATGAGGGGACAGCGAAAAGGTGTTGCCCACAACCGCTTAAGGTTGAATCTTGTTCACACAGATTGGCCGATGCAGCGCACTACGGTGCATCAGGTGGTCCAACAGTGGGAAGCCCTATAGTATGCAGCGCAGTTCAGGCATCCCAGTCGCCGCCGTGGTCAACCGACTTTACATTGTTGAGCCTTTCGAACATCGACAGTGACTGGAAGGGACAGTTTCCTACGTTGAATGACCGGCAAGTATGCCGTACATGGTGTGTGCTGCCAGGTGAGGGTCTCTAGATTTGATCTCAGCTCACCTCCACCTCCACCTCCACCTCCACCTCCGCCACTTCCCCCAGCCTTCCGGACTTCGGCGGGTGCGGGTGGAGCGCCAGACCTCTGGCAGGTGACAGACATTTCACACGTGCCAAAGAATATGAATGTCAGAGAACCTGTCAGAATACATGACAGAACTCGAGGCAGAACGCATGCCATACTTGATGTCAGCACAAATGTCAGGTTCGTGCCAGAACAGAGAGCAGAATAAATGTCGGAGCACTTGCCAGTGAATGCCGGAACAGATGCGAGACTACATGCCAGAAAGCACTTCGGAACAATGTCGGAACACTTGTGAGACACATTGTCAGAACAGATCCCATAATATACATGACAGATACATATATCAAACAACACATGGAACAATATGGAACCAATATATCAGAACAGATGGCAGTTTTGATCTCAGAACAAATGCCTGAAGACGTAAAACAAATGCCAGAACATATGTCAGAACCGAAGTCGGACCTGATCAGATGTCACAACACATTTGAGAAGATGTGCCATATTTGATGCGAGAGCACATGTCAGAAGTACATGCCAGAAGATGTCTCAGAACACTTGTCAGACAGACTTTACCTCAGGAGAAAAATTGTCAGAAAGCATGCCCGAAATGACGCCAGAACACATTCCCGAACATTTCCCAGCCATTCCCAGCCCTTATGCTGGATGATGTGCCAGAACACATACCAGGCTTGATGCCAGAATAGATGTCAGAACGTTGTGTCAGTGCATATGTCAGGCAGCGTTTGTCAGGATAGTGTGTCAATACATGTGCCTTGTTTTCTTCCACATCACCTTTCAAGGGTGGTAATCATTCGATGACCAGTAACATGTCTAAAACTTGGCAGCCCAGTGACGGCCAGTGTGTCATCTCCAAAGTTGACCATAGCTCAATCAAGGCAGACGTGGACTTCCTCAAAGTGGGGGGATCCCAACGTTTGATGTTGATAGTCATTGATCTTTTGAGAGCTAACACACTTGCAAGTGATTGGCGAAGAGCATGCGAAGAGCTATCCTCAGGGCTCCTGGCCCATATCCTCAGGTTCTGGCACCCACCCCAACCACCTAACCTCATGGAGGTGGGCCAGGAGCCCTAGGGTGTAACATCTCCAAGAAGAAACAGATTCGATCTGCTCGATCTCTCAACACTGGGGCCGGCTGGCTCGTCAGGTGGCAGCTTCCTCGAGTTCCGGGGGGGTGAGGACTTCCACGCTGCCGCCGTTGAAGCCGTCGGCCGCGCTCGGGCCTTTGAGGTGGGCCGAGCGGCGCGGCACGCGAGACTGGCGCGGCACGCGTGGGTTGGGAAGAGTGAAGAGCAGTGAAGGGACAGTGAAGGGTGCTCATGGGCCAGGTAGAAAAACATCGTAGAGGGATTGATTGCGGTGAGTGTTTTGTTTGTTTTCTTTGTTTGGTGATGACTCAGGGTTTGGGGCAGTGAAGGGGGGGTTCAGGTTTGGATGATGATTCAAGCGTCTTGATGAGGACTGGGTGGGAGACCCCTGGAAAGCCATCGATGTGCAACTAGCAAGGCTTCTCCTCTCAAACACCACTCTTGGGAATCTAATGTGTCAATGTGAGCATTCCAGCAGCCTTATTTCTCATGCATCCACGCCGGTCAGCTGATGATCCAGATTTGATCTCCAAAACATTCCAAAGCACTGTTTATGATTATTATTGATTATTTACGGTATAGTACTATTGGATATTTATTGGTACACATGAATGGACTCAGTCCATTTTGCCTGGAGTTCTTCTCACGTCTTCTCCATGGCGATCCAGGCCAGTGATCCCACGAGTCATGCGGGTGGCACCCATGAGCGAAGGCGCTTTCGCCAGCCGCCCGGGAGCCACTGGGCACACTTAGCGTCTCTCTCCGCCTCCGTCCAAGAGTTGGTTCAGTGGACCAACCAAAAAATATCCGAAATTTGCCGTACGGATTGGAAACCGTACCCGATTTTGCAGGCTCTCATGTCAAATTCATTGGTATTCGTGACACCTCAAGTTGCCGTTTTTTTGTGTAACCATGTGATGACATGAAAAACACAGTGAGAGAAGTGGGTCCGGTCTTCAGTCCCTAGGCAAAAATTGCATGATCCCTAGGGCTCCAAGGACCTTCTTAGAAGGTGTTTGGGGTGGGTTTAGAGGGTCCAAATACTTTCTAAGGAGGTACTTGGAGCCCTAGGGGATCATGCTCTATCAACATTTGTTGTAAGTTGATTGTGATGTTCGAGCGACTGTGCTTCATGTTCCATACACGTGCTGGACATGCTGATCTATGGAAAGAACACCCGCTCATCCATTGAGAACCCTCGGAGGGTCTCTATCGGATGGTGTTGGCGTCCGTTGGCTTTTGCTGCAGGTTTTCATGTGTGGCAAATGTCCAACTGACCGCTTACCTGCATGGGAGTTTGTTTAATCCAAATGGCTCAGGAACAATGCCACGCAGCTTGGCAGATCCAGGCATCCCCTCAGGTTGAAAGGTTGGCATCCTGCGGTGGCTCTTGATTGTTTTGTGTTTTTGGGGGCATGTTCTTCCATCAAAAAATGAACCGTTAATGCCATTCCCTCCACATCCCCTTTGAGGTTTCGTGGTTGGGGATGCGAACTATACAGCTGATCATTACAATTTGGAGGTTCTTCTGGTTGGGAGGCGACCTCCCTCAATCCCATGCGCCGCGCATGTTCGAGCCAACTCTCGCCGACTCTCGCTGAGACCGCGACCGCGACAGCGAGTGGGAGTTCGGAGGCGAGTGGGAGTTCGGATGAGCGTTTCAGAGGCCCAAGTTCTTTGGGGCCAAAGGGGTTCAGAAGCCTTGAAACAAGACCGTTTTGAGAACCCTTTTTGAGATCCCCTGGCCCAATAAGTTTGGGCGATTTTATATTTTGGTCTATTTCCCTTCCATGGGGTCGAACTGGGAGGCCTCGCTATTTTGATAGACACCCGTATGGTTGTTCAATCTGTAGAGAGGACCTGGGGTAGAGGACTTCAGAGATGTTCATAGAGAAGAAACACGCTTTACGCTGAGTCAGGTCCAAGTGAGTGTGACAGCCGACATCCACTTTATGCTGTCGGTGCTTGCCAATTAATCCCAGGCGCTCCATGTATGCCAGATATGCCTACATTGGGGTGGTTTTGGGGGTCAATGTAGGCATATATGGATACATATATATATATATATATGGCATACATGGAGTGTTTGGGTAATGAGATTATATGGACAGCAGAGTGAGATTTGGAGGAACTGCAGACTCCCGTGACCCACCCAGGGTTGGTAGCTCAGTGGGTTGGTCATGACCCTACAATCCTTGGATCATGGCTGGTCAACATGCCCAGCTCGTAGGCATCTAAGATCAATTTACATTCATTTACACTCCCTCCAACAAGCATGGAAGTGGAGGTCTTCCACTTCCATGTGAGTGACCACGAAGTCTTTTGTGCGACACCCTTGTAGCCCTTTCTAGAAAGAATGGTGGGACATGGGATGGTGCCGGATGCAAAGTTCTGGGAAGGGCAGATTTGGCCATTCCAATAGCAGGACTCTGACGCGTCTTCGGCAGACGTCAGGACGGGTATTTGGCAGGACGCATTTGCAGGATTCTTCATTTTTTTGCACGGTTTCTCCTTGTTATCCACCAACCAGCTGGCACCAATGAACCCAACAACCGCCGATGTGGCACATTGACCCCAGTAGAGACATACACACACCATGTCAAAAATTTGTCCTCAATTGTATGGTGCAACAATGTTTGATGTCAATAGTGCACATTTGCTCCTGCTGCCACTTTGCGTGCCACCCCTCTGGGGTTTCAGGGCGGCCCCTGGTCAACCACCCCAACTGGTCGTGAACTTCTTAGAGTTTGTTTGCAGATTCTCGAAACCATGTCCAGCTTTCTACTCCCAACGCACTCAACACTCAAAGCAACAGGGCTTGGGGCAAAAGTTTCATCACGACCAGTTGGATCCTCATGACCTGGGCTCCAGCTGCGTTCCATAGGCGCCGCCGCCGCCACCACCTCCTGCAGAAGAGGCTGAAGAGGCCGCCTCGTCGGAGGTGGTCCCGCCACCGCCTGCACCACCTGCAGCACCGCAGCCGAGCGAGGCGGGAAAACCCTGCGCCCCACAGCGGAAATGAAGAGATTCGGCCGGCACCAGTGAAAATCCTCATAGCGTAGGACCCCAAATCTTCAACGCGTCCACCCAAAAAGTCCTGCAAAGTCCTGGATGGGAGACCGACTTCTCCCTGACTTCTCTTCCTCGATGTCGGCCTTCGCCGTTCGGCGTTCGGCGAGGGACAGGAGCGGTCCGAGACAACTTCAAGCGGATCTCACCGTCCACTTCAACCACACAACCACTCGTGGTTTCTCTCGGACGAACACGTCGCAGTGGATGGCAGTGGATGGCATGGCCCCGGAAGGAAGACGACTTTCCTTTACGAACAGGGGGTGAACTCCACTTCCATGTGATGTGTTCGTCGGAGTGTACACATTGATTTGCAGGATAAGGTTATTTTCCTTCAACAGGCATTTACTATATTGCATATTGTATATATAGATCTCTCCTCACTCCACTCCTCTCCACTCCACTCATCACTCCCTCCATTGGTCGTTTCTTTTTCTTCACCATTTCACTCCTCCCAGGCGGAGCGTCAGGCTCGCTTCGAACATCTCCAAAGGCGTCACCACGGGGGCAGTTCGGGGCCTGGCAAACGCGCGGGTCGTCACTGGTGGCTGCTTCTTCCAACCCCCTATCACAAGACGGTTGCCCTTAACAACCGCGTGGTTCCGAGGATCTGAGGTCAAAGCGGTCAAAGGTGTTGAGGAGCAGATTCTGCTTTCCCCAACGGTTTCCTCCGGTGTCGGGACGTTCCTCCGGTCACAGCGGTCAAAGCGGTCAAGGTTTCATGCCTTCACCGGAGGAAACCGACAGAGGGCGCCGCCCCCTCCCTCGATCTGTCTATGTTTGTCCTACTTGTTAAACGGAGTCAAAGGGTGTCTTTGTCGTGTCGGGTTAAGCATGCAGCGAGCTTCTTCGTGGTGGCTTTTGTGCCCGAAAGCAAGGAACTGTAATATATACGAAACGGATGTCGGCGGGGCAAAACGCTCCATCCTGCTCCAGTGAAATGCTGAAGGGAGGTTTGATCAAAAGAACGAAAGGGTGCCCAATATCTGAAGAGGGTGATGCACGTTCCATGTTACTTGGCCGATAGGCTAGGCGTTTGTTGAGAGGCAGGACAGAAGGTGCCTTATGGTGGCTGACCCCCACGACCCCCACAGCACGAGTCTCTTGAATCATTTTGGATCCATTGAGAGTCACCTGGATCGATCCAGCCAGCCGAGCCGCCCCCGAGCCGAGCACGCGACTCTTCCGCACGCGACTCTTCCGCACGGGACTCGCATCCACGGGACGTCGCAGTCCTGCGACGTCGATGCGTCGAACACGCCGTCGCTGGAGGCAGCGACAGTTGCTGGTAGAGAAGCGTAACAAGGACTGAATGAATTCAGCGGCCACCGGTGGGAGATGGGTGAAGATTCTCAAGAGACAAGCGACACCACGTATGGATTGCCATTCTTTTGAGCGGATCTGGCGATGGACATAAGGACTGTCCTGCACTTGCAAACCGGGGGAATCCCTTTTTGGTGGTTCCTGTTCCTTATATAAGCAAATCCAATGTCAAATGAGGCTGCAGACCAGCCAATGAGGCTGCAGACGGGGGATTCTCCGAGACTTTAAGCAATCCTAGAATCCTAGATGCAACCATGTCCACTCAAGAGCGCTTTAGATGTATATAGATTTTTGATGTTAAGAGATTTGAGGTAGAAAGGCAATGTAAGATGATTATGAGTTATGATGATTGCACACATGATGACTATAGGATATTATGATTACGCACATTACTATGTGGGCAACGGTAGACGATCCTAAGATGATTGTGATGATGACGCACATGAGGTGTTGTGTGTGTGTGTGTTTGGGGGGTTCGGGGGGTTGGGGCCAAAGTGTTGACGTTCGTTGCAAGTGATGTGGATTCATCTCATGTTGTATGCAACATAGCATTGCATGATTCCAAAGATGCAATCGATCACAGTAACCTCCTTGCAGCTTGCTGCCTCAGAGACCTGGTTTGGAAAGGGTCTCGAGAGCTCTCGCGATTTTTTGCTTGGTGCCATGTGATGCATTCAAACATATTCAAACGGGCACGGTGGCAAACTTGAGATCGAGTGCACAGGAAAACACAAGCTTGACTGCTGCTACGGCCTTTTGAGATGGGACTGGGCGATTCATATATTTCCCAACATGAAAAGACATCTGCAAGAATCCTGAAAGTACAGCTGAGGAGATGAAAACACACCTTTAAAATCCTTTGGGACCCGTGCAAAACACCTTTTCATCCTACCCATCCAGCCAAAGGTTACGTTGCCGCCCCACCGGTGCGTGCCGCGTCGCGGCACCCGCCGCGGCGGCCCAAGCGCCTGCTGCGTCGCGTCGCGGCTCAGGAGCGGCAGAAGCAGCTGGAGAATTCTCCCAAACATGGCCGAAAGGCGGCGGACCTGGCACCTCAGCCGCACGGGACCGAACCGAGCGCGGCAACAACACCGCGCAACGGCGAAGCGGATCGGACCTGGGATGTCCAAGCACGCGCGGTTTCCTCCGATCGGGCGACGGCGATGTCGGAGGCAAAGCAGACAGGTGAGGGGGAAGTCTGGAGATGTCGGGTGAGGACCAGATCCGAAAGAAGGATGTGGGTGTGAAGGGTGTGTGAAAATTGATGTGAAGAAGGAGAAGGGGGCTTGCGCCAAGTGATAGAGGTGAATATTGATATTAGGGTTCCAACAACCATTGCTACCTCAGCGAAACACCCCAATGAAACACATGTGCAAAGGCCTCGAGATCAGACGGTTATAGGATCCTGATCCATTCCACGTTCAATCGCTTCAACGATCGGCCTCAAAGCCTCCGCCTCCGTGTTCGCGAACGAGGCCACCAGTCCCAGCGGCAGTGGCGCACCCAGCAGCCTGGTGCGCGAGCTCACCGGGGAGCCCCGATCTTCGCCCGAGGCCCATGCGGCCGGGAGGCCTGGAGGTGCCTGTGGAGGGGAACCAAGAATGGGGCGGCGGAATTGTGGGTGACCGCAAGAGATGTGTGAGGGAATATTCGGAAATTGTCCCGGTTCCATTTATATAAAAAGCTTTCTTTCCCTGTGAGATCCTATGAGTAAATCCCCTTCTGGGGAGTATGTTCTATCATGTTCTCGGTTAGTTAACATTAAGCAAGTCAAAGTCTGATGGGGCTCCCCAAGACATTGTAAGACCAGAGGTCCAGAGCGATTCATTCACCATCCCTTGTGGGGTCTTGTTTTTGTTGAAAGAAGAAGAACCGGTTGCTGGGGTGCGAGGAATCTCGAGGTCCTCGCAGGTGCCTCTTTTGGTGGTTGAAAAGGGATCCATTTAGATCCAAAGGCACATGTTTCAGCTCCTGGCGTGTTCACCCTAGTACTCCAACCACCTGAGAAGGTGGTTGGAGTGGGTTTGGAGGGTCCAAATACCTGAGGATATGCTTGGAGCCCTAGGGTCATGTCGTTCATGGACTCTCTCCAGGTGGGAACCCACTCGACCCTCCCTCGCACCGTTGCGACGTTTCTTCGCACCAAGGCGACCGCAGTGCAGCAGATGCGGCAGGTTCTGGCTTCGCAGCTCAAGCAGACGCTGAGGCGAGCAGGGTCGCGGTCGCACGGGTCGCACGGTCGCGGCGCGTTGAAATGCGGTGCAGATGTCTACCAGTAGGTGGCACCTAGCCAGGAAGTACGAGGGAAAAGCTGCAGATCTCCTTTTCTTTGGGTGATGGGTTTCACCACTAAACATGAACAGACTTGGCAGTTTCCTTTGTCGTCGTGTTCGTGATGTGGATGCTCATTCGCTTTGCGGTTTCATCGGGGTTCTGTTTCAGTTGTTTCCACTGCCACGACCAGTGTGTTTGCAGTGTCGCTCATGCGGATCGAGCGGGATGGGTGCGAACAGATGGCAAAAGGTTAGCCTTCTTTTTCCAGGCAAACTGAGGGAGTCAGAACCAGCAATGTGCCAAATAGATGCTGAGGCGTGCTTTCTTGTTTCTTGTTGATCTTGTTGGGACGTTGTGTTTCCAATATGTCAAGTTTCTATTGTGACTTATATTTATTTAAGAGGCTTACGCCTGACAGCCGGGCGCCGGCCTATTTGGGTGTGGGATATGTGCAGGGCCAGTGCCCCGTTTGCAACATGGGGCCAACGTACGCCAACGTACGGCAACATAGGCCCAACCCAGGAGAACATATGCCTAACATAGGTGTAACATAGTTTCAACATGGGTTTAAGATGTGCTCAACATACACCACATGGGCCCAACTTGGCCCAACCTAGTGCTAAGATGCGCACCAGATGGCCAA